TTCACATTCTGCTGTGTCGCTTTCTTCTCAAGTCATGAACCCATCACAGACTTTCTCTAGCTGTAGGTTGCCACGGTGAAGATTTACAATGCCAGTTATTCATACATCTGCCTTCTCTCTTTTCCCCCCTTATTCTTAAATCCCCTGGGCGAGGGCAACCTTGATACTGAGACTCGTAAAATTCATGCAGGCTTATCATCCTTGGTGAAGGCTTCAGGCATGCATTACCGTATCCAACTGCCTGCTCACCGCCATGACAGAACTAGGCCCATAGCTTTTCTTTTTAACAGGGTAAAGAAGAAGAAGAAAAAGGTAGCATTGTGTAAAATAGACCAAGAAGCTTGGGTGTGTGTGGGGGGGAGGGGTGTTAAAAAAAGTTTTATCTCTTTCCCTTAATGAATTTTAAATTTGTTTTAATTACGTTACTCTCTGCGGAGTGGCATAAATTTAAACACAAGCTGTGTTGTTGTCATTGTTGTTGTTTAAAGTAGCCTTTAAATTGTGTGGAATAGTATTCTGAAAAGTCCAATTTTTTGTGTGTGTGCAATGTGCAAAATACATTATGAAGGCAGCCTCTGAAGTCCACATCAAAGTAACAAATGTAACAAACCTGGAATGAATTTTCACAAGCACATTTCGAAGACTTTTATTTTATTCAGGGTTTTTTTCCCCCTTTTAAAAATGTTACTGATCCTTTTGTTGGGGAATTAAAATAGCTGTCTTGGAGCAGGGAATATGTATTTATACTTCTATATTCCGTAGTCTGATTGAAATAAATTGTTAATTTTTTTACTAAATCACAGTTGCATAATAAGCTTGTAATGTGTATATACATATCATTATCGCATTGCTAAAATGTGATTTTTAAATGTTTGCTTTTGCATCGATCCAATTTTTGTCTAATGCGTGGAAGTTGAGCAAAGCTCTAAGGAAAATGAGACCATGGGTTCTTTGCCATTGACTTTGGATTTTTGGAAGTATTTTTGGAGCAATAGAAGGAGGGCCCTGGAGTCTTGCAAAAGTGGTTAAAATTCAGGAACTATAAGTCATTAATCTAGATGTCCTCTGATAATGCTTCCTACATGACAAAATGACTATAATTTCTCACCCTGGTGCTGAAATCTGTGTTTAACCAGTGTAATGCATAACAGGGGCAAAACTAGATTTTATTTCACCTGGGTCAAAGACCCAGTTTGGCAGCTCCCCAACACAATTATTATTATTATTATTATTATTATTATTATTAATACCCCGCCCATCTGGCTGGTTTTCCCCAGTCACCCTGGGCGGCTTCCAACAGAATATTAAAATACAGTAGTCTGTTAAACATTAAAAGCTTCCCTAAACAGGGCTGCCTTCAGCTGTCTTCTAAAAGTCTGGTAGTTGTTGTTTTCTTTGACATCTGGTGGGAGGGCATTCCACAGGGCGGGCGCCTGCCACTACTGAGAAGGCCCTCTGCCTAGTTCCCTGTAACCTCACTTCTTGCTTTGAGGGAACCGCCAGAAGGCCCTTGGAGCTGGACCTCAGTGTCCAGGCTGAATGATGGGGGTGGAGACGCTCCTTCAGGTATACTGGGTTGAGGCCATTTAGGGCTTTAAAGGTCAGCACCAACACTTTGAATTGTGCTCAGAAACGTACTGGGAGCCAGCGTAGGTCTTTCAAGACCTGTGTTATATGGTCTCAGCAGCTGCTCTCAGTCACCAGTCTAGCTGCTGCATTCTGGATTAGTTGTAGTTTCCGGGTAACTTTCAAAGGTAGAAAGAGAGCGCATTGTGCACGTGTGCACACACACACACACACACACACTGGGAGCCTCAATGGTGCCCCTCTGGAGGCTTCACTCGGGGCAAAAAACTTGGCTAGCCCCTCCCCTCCCAGTAGCTACAGCAGTGATGCATACTTCACAAGAGCACAGGATATTCCCCATTCATTTCAATGGGAAGAGTTGATTTGTGTGCGCAGATGGACTCCTTCAATTCAGCAAGCATGGAATAACTCATTTCAAGCAATCTTTGTGTATCTAATGAATGAACATGGAGGACACCGCCCCTGCCCAGCAGATCCTACACCAGTCTATACCCATAATTAGCTTACCAGAAGATACTGGGCCAGTAAACCGTGTTGTGAAGATGAAATTGGGAGGAAGAGAGCCATGTGGGTCACCTTGAACTCCTTGGGAGGAAACGTGGGTTGCAAATGAAAGAATCTGAAAAGATTTTTGCAGCTCTAAGAACAGCAGGTCCTGTCCATATGATGTGAAACTCTACTTTCCCAGTGTTCCCAATCATCATCATCATCATTAGTTTTTATTAATTGAAGCATGTATATACTAGCCACCTTGATCCTTTTAAGATTCCAGGATGGTGTACAGCAACTTGCATCAATACAAATAGCAGTAATGAAACAACATAAAATAAATAAATAATAACTATCATTTTATTATTACCCCACCCATCTGGCTAGGGTCCCCCAGCCAGTCAGCTCCCAATAGATAGAAAAACATAACAGCCCACTTCAAAAAAAAATACAAAAAAATAATAATACAAAAATTCCCCTGGCACTGGAAAGGTTTACATGTAGCCACTTGGTGAAACTCCACTGCTGAACTCCGCCCCCTCCTTTGGTGGAAAACAGTATAAGAGGCCCCTGGAGGAAAGGACCTCTGGGGAAGATCTTAAAGCACTGGCAGATCTTTTGAAATTCACACTTATCTGAAATTTGCTACCCAGCTCCAACCAAATAGTGTTTACAAAACTGCATATATTAGGTGAAAGTGTGTACAAAAATGAATATAATAGTGAAAATAGCATTTAAAAATGCATTATGTTGGGAGAAATCGCATGCAAAAATTTGTACATTAATCAAAGCTGCACTCAAAAAGGTGTTTATTGGGAGAAATTTCTACCAAAATGCTGAACGATTTTCGTGAGGATTTTAAAAAAATAAATAAATTGCGAATTGCTACAGAAATGTGGAAAACTGAATTTAAAATGGGAAAAATAAGAAATTGAAAGGACCAAAATTGACAGATCCTTCCATCCCTAGCTGACGGTGAAGTTATGGAGCCTGCATTTGGTCACAGACCTAAGACTGAATGAAGGAAGAGCTAGCAGACCTTAGGCAGCAGCTACAAACACTGGAGAGGAGCATACAGTGTTGAACCTCCCATATCTGAGAATATAAAACTCATCTCTTCCAGCAGTCCATCTCTCTCCTTAGGTGAAACACAGTTTTCCTGGTAGGTAGAAAATATTGGCACATTTTAGGTGGCATGCATAAGTTTTTGTGAAACTGGGCTGGTCAAACTTTAGTTTTTTGAGGTGGAGAATCATCAAAGTTGATATCCTCATCTTCTAATTCAGCACAGCTCAGAACAACTGTGAATGCAGTTATTATCCTGCAGAAAGGTGGACAGGTTTTCCTGTAGGACAAAATACAGGAAGCCAGTTATATGGACTTCACAGGCTCTGCTGGACCCATGCCCAGTCTTTTCAGCCATGTGGACAAACAGAGAACAATGGAGCCATTCTGTAATTTGTTCTCTAGGCCGTAGGGGCACTGATACATAGTTCCAGACCCCTGAAATAATATCTATCTAGAAGATTCTCTCATGCTCTGATTGCAGAACTGCAGAAATTCTGCTTGAGCTGTATTGAAATGAACATAAGTGGTCATCAACCACTTCCTGCTGATTGTTGCATATGCAATAGTTCTGCAGTTATTCCCATAAATGAAAGGAATAACCCCATGGATTGGATCCAAAGTGTTCAAGCAGAAGGCTGTTCATACCTTACAACTTCCCTGTAATATCCTCTCCACTCTGTCCTCCTGCACACCTAAAAAAAATCCTGCTCTAGAGAACCAGAGGACTTGCTTGAAAAGCATGGGCCAGAGTACAGGGGCAGTAGCAAGGAGGAGGAATAACCACAAATAATGCAGAGCATTCTTTTGCAAGTACAGTGGTACCTCAGGTTAAGAACTTAATTAATTCCGGAGGTCCATTCTTAACTTGAAACTGCTCTTAACCTGAAGCACCACTTTAGCTAATGGGGCCTCCCGCTGCTGCCGGGCCGCCGGAGCACGATTTCTGTTCTCATCCTGAAGCAAAGTTCTTAACCCGAGGTACTATTTCTGGGTTAGCGGAGTCTGTAACCTGAAGCGTCTGTAACCTGAGGTACCACTGATTTTCTGCAATACACTCTTCCCACCACAGTAGGGTTAAAGTAAAGAATCCCCGGATTGTTAAATCCAGTCAAAAGCGGCTATGGGGTTGCAGCGCTCATCTCGCTTTCAGGCCGAGGGAGCCGGCATTTGTCCACAGAGAGCTTTCCGGGTCATGTGGCCAGCAAGACTAAACTGCTTCTGGTGCAACAGAACACCATGACGGAAACCAGAGTGCACAGAAATGCCATTTACCTTCCCGCCGCAGCAGTACCTATTTATGTACTTGCAGTTTGAACTGCTAGGTTGGCAGAAGCTGGGACAGAGCAACAGGATCTCACCATGTCACGTGGATTCGAACCGCTGACCTTCTGATCGGCAAGCTCAAGATGTTCAGTGGTTGAGACCACAGCGCCGCCCTTGTCCCTTTACCTTCCCACCACTGTAACCTGCACCTCACTTCCCATGCTTTTTGGAATTGTACAAGCACCTTTCCACTTGTAGAACATTAGATCCAGCCTTGTCTGTGTGCCTGCCAGAGCATCATTCAGTATTGAGGGTCAAGAGGCAACATTTTCAAAGAAAAAACCAGCATTAAGTACAAAATAATAAAATGCCATAGGTCGCCATTGTTGCAGCCACTGAAACAATCAACCCATCAATAACAAAGTGTTGTTGTTCAGGATATCTATTATAACCTCCCTCCCTTTTGGGGGGGGGGGTAGCTGTATATATATATTAGAATAAATAAATAAATGGGTGTAATAAAATTATTAAAATGTACTGCTTTGGAGGATCATTTTCAGCAACGTCAATATTGTTAGCATCTTCACAAGTCAGCCTGGATAGCTCAGTTGGTTAGAGCTTGGTGCTGATAATCCTAAGGTTGCAGGTTCGATCCCTGCAAAGGACAGCTGCATATTCCTGCATTGCAGAGAGTTGGACCAGATGATCCCCAGGGTCCCTTCCAGCTCAACAGTGATTCTATGATCCTATGAACTCACCCTGATGAGCATTTAGCCAGCATCTAGAGGGTATTGAGGTCACATCAGCTAGCCCTTACCGCACTCACTTTGCTTGCCAACCCCAACATGGTCAGGAGACACATTCAGCCACAGTAAGGACTCACATATACCTGTTTGGGTATATGTAGCAGCAAAGTTGGAAGTGAGAGCTGGACCATAAAGAAGGCTGATTGCCAAAGAATTGATGCTTTTGAATTATGGTGCTGGAGGAGACTCTTGAGAGTCCCATGGACTGCAAGAAGATCAAACCTATCCATTCTTAAGGAAATCAGCCCTGAGAGCTCACTGGAAGGAGAGATCCTGAAGCTGAGGCTCCAATACTTTGGCCACCTCATGAGAAGAGAAGACTCCCTGGAAAAGACCCTGATGTTGGGAAAGATGGAGGACACAAGGAGAAGGGGACGACAGAGGACCAGATGGTTGGACAGTGTTCTCGAAGCTACCAGTATGAGTTTGACCAAACTGCGGGAGGCAGTGGAAGACAGGAGTGCCTGGCGTGCTCTGGTCCATGGGGTCATGAAGAGTCGGACACGACTAAATGACTAAACAACAACAACAACAAGGACTGACATGTGCACACAGAGAGAGGTCTGTATGTAGAGATGCTCCAAACCATCGGGGATCTTTGGCCAGTCAGATCCTCCTCATGTGGCTCTGCACACATGCAGAGATCTAGACATGTGAAGGGACTCTTGACATGTCTGCCAGGTATGTGCCAATTGGGGCAGAGATTGACCAGCATGCACATCAGCAGTGGCAGGCTGGGCTCAGCAGCACATCCGATGAAACCTTCATGCCTTGGATAAATGCATAGGGGGCTCGTGGCTATGCCTCTTCCCTCCAGTGGGAGCCAGTGTGGTGTAGTGGTTAAGAGCGGTAGTCTCGTAATCTGGTGAACTGGGTTCGCTTCCCTGCTCCTCCACATGCAGCTGCTGGGTGACCTTGGGCTAGTCACACTTCTCTGAAGTCTCTCAGCCCCACTCACCTCACAGAGTGTTTGTTGTGGGGGAAGAAGGGAAAGGAGAAAGTTAGCCGCTTTGAGACTCCTTTGGGTAGTGATAAAGCGGGATATCAAATCCAAACTACGACTACTACTACTACTACTACTGCTGCTGCTGCTACTCTTCTTCTTCTTCTTCTTCTTCTTCTTCTTCTTCTTCTTCTTCTTCTTCTTCCAAATAATAGCACAAAAGCAACAGCACCCCTAGACGGATGAAACAAACCTGATATGCCATGCCTCTTTCTGTGTCTTCCTTATGATATCTAAAAAAGAAATAAAAAATTAAATAATAATGCAATAATCATTGTTTTAAAACACTAAAAAAAAATAGAACTAAATATGCTGGATAGAGGTAATATTCTTACACTCAAACTGTTTTTCGGGAGATATTTTTAACCTCCCCAACTTGTTAATTTTAGCCAAACGATTGAAAAGAGAATCTATTTTTATATAGTCTTATAATGTGGGGTTTTCAATTGCTGTTTAGATGTGATAAATTAACAAAAAATGGTGAGAAACTGAGAGGCACTGTGATAAAATTTCTTTTCACATTTAGACCCTCATCATATACTCTGACACAACTAACTTACTGTATTTTTTTTTCCTCCTTCCAGTTTGCAGGCATCTAAACTTTATGCCAGATGAAGAGATTGTGTTTTGACACAGTGGAAAAGAATTCCGAAAAATATGGAATGTCCATCCTTGCTTCCTTGAGAAGAGGCATGAAGACAGCACTCTCCTACCCCATAGAAATATCTCAGGAGCCAAGAAAGGATACCAAAAGGAAATGAACATTCCTGGATGGCTGCTGATCATTCTTGGAGCATATTTCTCTCCAAGAGAAACCACTCCTGCTTTGACCATTCCTTTCTTTCCCCTTCCTTTCCTTCCCTCCTCTTGCTATAATCCTTCATTCTATTCCAGATTTTCTTCCTGATGCTGCTGCTGCTGAGTATTCTGGGAAATGTAGGCACCAGAATCTGAATTTTCTGGGCAGCACAGTCATCAGACTCTTCTGAGGGGTGTGCTTTTAAATGTAAGGAGGGCGGTGGCTGGAGTAGGGGGAGACACAGACCTGTACCAAAGTGGTTCAGAACAATCTGCTTTTCGCAGCCCTAAGGGAGAGTGGAAATTAATGGCAGCCATTCTAAGCTTGCCTTAAAGAAGCAGTCTGCATGTTCATTGTGTGGCTTTCAGGAGCATTGATGCATTGTGCTTCTGATTCCACACAACGGAAGTAATGTTTGAGGTGCAACTCACCAGTTGTGCCCATTTTGGCAGCCTTGAGCTTCAGGCGACGTCTGCAAGGCGCTTCATCCTCTGCAAACCACTCTATCGAAGCAATGCATGAACTAGTTCTACCAATGATTTAAGCCCACAATACGAGGGACAAGGTTTCCTTTCACATCCCTGTTTTGAGCAGATAGGCTTGCTGATGTAATGTAAACTTGGAACTTCACGGTTGAAGTCTTTGCCTCTTTGACTTGAGCATTTTGCAGTGTCTATAGAACAGGCAGCAGAAACGCATAATGGAAGATCACAGAAACAAAAAAATGTGCATATCACAAAGATATAAAAAGACATACCCTCCAACATTTCTCAGATGAAAATAGGGGTGTCCTATCCAATACAGTTGTACCTTGGTTCTCAAACAGAATCTGAAAACGTTTGAAAACCAAAGCCGGCTTCCAATTGGCTGCAGGAGCTTCCTGCACTCATTCGGAAGCTGTGGAAGCCACGTCGGGTGTTCAGCTTCCAAAAAATATTCACAAACCTGAACGCTCACTTCTGTTCAGGAGCCAAAACGTTTGAGTCGCAAGGTGTTGCAGAACCTAGGTAGCCCACCCATCTAACTGGGTTGCCTCAGCCATTCTGGAGGGCTTCCAACATATATAAAAACATAATAAAACATTCAACATTTTAAAACTTCCCTATACAGGGCTGCCTTCAGATATCTTCTAAAGGTTGTATAGTTATCTCCTTGGTTCGTAGGCTGCATAACTCCATACTCTCCAAATTCATCTGATGAAAATAGGAAGGAAAAAGTGGGACATTCCAGGGTATCAAATCAGAAACCGGGATGGCTTCTGTAAATCCAGGACTGTCCCTGGAAAACAGGGACACTTGGAGGGTCTGAAAAGCACATGTGTTCTTCCCCACTAGGGCCAGATTTAATAAGGGTATGCCTTTTAAAAATAACAATTTAAGAAGTGTTCTGACACAGGCAGGAAATTATATGAGCAGATGTGTTGTTATCTGAACAGATATATGGAATGGAATTGTGTCCATTTCACAGATATGCAATTGCTGGGAAGCAAACATACCTGTGAGCTTGTTTGGTAAGATAAGGTATTGCCCCACTCTTCTACTGCAAGAACAATACTGGGGGGCAGCTCTGTTTATCATATAATGGATAGCTCTATATGTTGTCCTTCCCAGCTGGGCTCTTTGAGCACGCTTGCCTTCTGAGTCAAAGCCCAGATTCTCCATGAAAGATGTGCCTGCATTCTTGCTGACATTTCCTTATTTGCCAACACAGCGAGCCACCTTAAGGAAATGCCGGCATATTATATAGTTGCCTTTTCCACTGTATTTCCATTATTTTTTGGAAAGGAAAAAAAAGTGCTGTTCTCCATAGAAGGCATATTTAAGTCGTGAAGGACTTGCAGCACTAGCAATTAATAGGGTCCCATTATGTTAACTATCACGCAAGTTTAGGACATCTTAGATGCAAGATAAGAGATGAATAATTTGAAGTAATTTTCCTGTAATCATGCCAATCACTTCAGCAAAGTAGTTATTAAATGAAACAGTAATATGATGAATTATAGGACATCGATTGAATGCCTTTCCTCACAATATACTTCTAGCGCCTTATGTCGGAAAGTGGCAAACATGTGAAATCTCTTTCCCGGGAAAATATGCACACTCCTCGCTGTAAATAATAGTTTGTTTAGCAAACCTTGATTTTTAATGAGGCCTGGAGACTGACTTCTTCAGCTCGGCCTCCTCACCTCCCCCTCCACTTCGCAGGAGGAGTTGCCTGACTCCGTCTTCTCTTTAAAGGTAGATATTAGCAAGTATGAGTCACCTTTGATGACAGCAAATTCTTCTAGTTCAAATTTGCTGAAGTGATTAAATATTATTTATCTAATTAAATGCTCAAAACACATCATTATTGAAAGGAATAAATTTAGTGCATTTGTTGAACAGTGTTAACTGAAATGTAACTGCACATCATTTGACTTTTTAACATTTATTATATCTAATAAGTCTTTCTGTGCTTAATTAAATCAACTTATTTTTACACTTAATTTAACATGATTCCATTTTAGTTACAGAGCCTGCATCGGATATTATGTAGGAAACTGAGTGTACGCCCATATTAGCCCTGTTGCCCGACTTTTCAAGGTGCTCTGTTGCATCTCTGAATAATCTAGTCAATCTCAAGCACTGGGACCACTTTTATTCTTTTCATTATCCATTCCATGGGCGGGGGGGACTGCCACATTCTTTGGTTTAATTTTCATCGTAGAACTGAGAGTAAACATTCAAAACACCAATTGAGGAAAAGCTTATAATTATATGTCTTACATATTGCTGTCACATTGGCTGGGGAAAGGTTTTGAATGGTAGATAATGAGGTGAAAGTTCTTCCCCCATGTTCCTCTCAGTCCTATCAGTGCAAAGGCTTATGGGAAATGTGTGTTTGAGAGGGGAGGAAACCCTCATCTATTTGGGTATATTCTGATTTTATACCCGGATCCTGAATGTCTTCTCTTGAATGAGATGCCTATTGTTTTTAGAGGAACTTGCAGAGTCATGACTAGGGTCGAGCATAGCAACTCAGGCTTGGGACCCTGTCCCCTGAGCCCCCCAAAGGGTGCC